TTACATCATGTAAAGATGAACACTTGTTCATGTAATCTCCAGGTATGTCAGAAATCACTCTTCTCAACAACAGACACAGATTACAAGCAGAGGAAATGAAGAATGCTTAAATTTTTATGGGTGAATTTATCCTGACCACCATAAATCTATGAAGTAAGTGGCAATTTTTACTTATTTAATGATTTATATCACAATAATTTTTTTAAAGTCATTTTGCTTCACATGACTGTAAACATCTTATCAAAATTTAATTTGCATCAGGATCGATATCGAATACATGTATTACCTTGATTTTTAGAGTGATAATCTTAAATGTTCTTTACGAGGGGATGCTCCGCCTTGCAGTGCACTAGTTTCATGGGGATTGTTGATCTTTTTTTTCTGCTTTTGTAGTTTTTTTTTAATATCTTAATAATGAACAATTATTATCCCAGGTTTTACAGGTATATTTCATGGGGCTATAAAATTCTTTTCTTCATTGATTTTGCCTTTTTTCATATTTTCAGAGTAACAGTACCTCTCTTGATTGATTCTACAAGATTCTGAAGTTGTTTTCCCAAAAGACCTTGACCTGCTTCATAAGGGTGTTTTTAGTGAGATCCAAGGATGAATAAGACAACAAATAGTTGTTCAGTAAGCTGTAAAGCTTAAAATTGTGTTGATGCATAAAATATAGCCACGCTCAAAACAGCATCGAAACAAACATTGACATGTGTGGTTTTTCAACAAAACTACAAATGAATAAAAAATAATAGAAACTTTTTTGTTTTTTCTGAGCCATCTCTCTCCATGGTATTTGTAAAAAAAAAAGAATTAAGACTTCCAAGAATTTAATTAATAAAATAATATTCTTTCCAAACATTTTCCCACTCCTTGGACTGTAAATTCTGAGTAAAGAAATGTGTGATGAACATTTCAAATTCCTATGTGATGCATACATGTATAAACTAAAATATACTACATGTACAAGGTCTAAATGTATGACAATAAATCTAACTTAAACTTAGCCAATGCATATTTTTGTATTTTTTGAACACCTAGTTTTTAGGCTCAAGTGAGCTTTTCTAATGACATTTTGTCCGTTGCATGTCCAACTAAAATTTTCAGAATTTCGACTTCTTCTCAAGTACCTCTGGGTCAATTTTAACCAAGCTTGGTACAAAGCATCCTTGGGTGAAGAGGAGTTTGAATTCTTAAAATGAAGGGCCAAGTTCCCTACAAAGGGATATATTCAAGAAGAGACAAAAATAGGTTTGGGTCTTGAAACAAGAGGCCCATGGGCCACATCGCTCACCTGAGAAACTTTGGCCATGCTGTTTTTTAACAGATTTCCCCTCTTCGTAATACCATTTGTGACCAAGGCCTATCCCCAGGGGTTATTATTAGGACAATTTAGAATCTACACTACCCCAAGATTCACATAAGTTTCGACTTTTCAGGCCCAATGGTTCTTAAGAAGATTTTCAAAGATTTTTCAATATATATTTCAATGTAAAACTAAGATTCCCTACTGTGGCCTCGCCCTACCCCTAGGGGTCATAATTTGGAAAATTTAGAACCTACACTTACCCCAGAATGCTTCCACATAAGTTTCAGCTTTTCTGGCCCAGTGGCTCTTTAGAAGAAGATTTTAAAGTTTTTTCCTATATATTTCTATGTAAAACTTGGATTACCTATTGTGGCCCCGCCCTGCCCCCTGGGGTCATGATTTTACAATTTAGAATCTACACTAACCCAGAATGCTTCCACATAAGTTTCAGCTTTTCTGGCCGAATGGTTCTTGAGAAGAAGATTTTTGAAGTTTTTTCCTATATATTTCTATGTAAAACTTGGTTTCCCTATTGTGGCCCCGCCCTACCCCAAGGGGTCATGATTTTTACAATTCACAATCTACACTACCCCAGAATGTTTCCACATAAGTTTCAGCTTTTCTTGCCCAGTGGTTCTTGAGAAGAAGATTTTAAAAAATTTTCCTATATATTTCTATGTAAAACTTGGTTTCCCTATTGTGGCCCCGCCCTACCCCCTGGGGTCATGATTTTTACAATTTAGAATCTACACTAACCCAGAATGCTTCCACATAAGTTTCAGCTTTTCTGGCCGAATGGTTCTTGAGAAGAAGATTTTTAAAGTTTTTTCCTAAATATTTCTATGTAAAACTTGGATTTCCTATTGTGGCCCCGCCCTACCCCCGGGGGTCATGATTTTAACAATTTAGAATCTACACTACCCCAGGATGCTTCCACATAAGTTTCAGCTTTTCTGGCCCAGTGGTTCTTGAGAAGAAGATTTTTTAATGACCCCACCCTATTTTTGTATTTTCTTGATTATCTCCCCTTGGAAAGGGACTTGGCCCTTGATTTTAACAATTTAAATTTTCCATCACCCAAGGATGCTTTGAACCAAGTTTGATTAAAATTGGCGCAGTGGTTCTTGAGAAGATGTTGAAAATGTGAAAAGTTTACAGACGGACGGACGGACAGACAGACAGACAGACGGACGGACGGACGGAAGACGGACAACGGGTGATCAAAAAAGCTCACTTGAGCTTTCGGCTCAGGTGAGCTAAAAAAAAATTCAAGAATCACTGGGCCAGAAAGTAAAAACTGTGGAAGCATCTTGGGATTAGTGTAGATTCTAAATTGTTCAAATCATGACCCCACTGGTTGGGCTGGGCCACACTAAGGAATCAAAGTTTTACATAGAAATATATAGGGAAAAAAATTTAAAAATCTTCTCAAGTCAAAGAACCGCTGGACCAGAAAATCTGAAACTTATGTGGAAGCATCCTAAGGTAGTGCAAATTCTATATTATTTAATCATGACACCTGGAGGTAGGGCAGGGTCACAATAGGGAAGCCAAGTTATACATAGAATTTAATATAAAAGGAAAAATTCTTTTTCTTAAGAATCGCAGCCAGAAAAACTTGTGTGAAAGCATCTGGAGTAGTGTAGATTCTAAATTGTTCAATTTATGACCCCAGGGGTAGAATGGGGCCATGATTTAGAATCCAAGTTTTACATGGAAATATATAGGGAAAAAAATAAAATTTTCTCAAGAACCACTGGGTCGACAGGACACCCCCCCCCCTTTTCGATATAGACCCCTGGGCTTTTGCGATTTTTTTTCTTATAAGTTATCTTCCATTGACATATTCGTGAGAAGATCTATACCAACATTAACAAATCAAAAATTACCTAAAACAAATATTGTATAAAATCTACCCTACATTCTATATATAAAAATCAACTATATATAGACAGTGGTTAGAAATTTTTATAAAATGTTGGTTTAAGCAAATTTTCTGAATTGATTGGGTAGATTTTATCACAAATGTGTCATCCATATATACTCAACAAAAAAAAGAAACGCATATTGCTTTACTCGTCAAAGAAATTTTTCAAATGTACATGGAACAACTATCTTTTATATCATTGGATACCTATGACATATTTAAAGGACAATATAGGGTTTTAAAACCCAAGTGTTGAATTATCTCCCTTGATTAAACGCGTTTATGAAAGTAGTGTTTTTCATGATTTCTTCTAAATCGGACGTCTATTTTCGCTGATATTTTGGATTTAGAGAAACTATCAACACTCCTATAAAACCCATATTTAAGAGTTGATTGCAGTGTTGATGCTTCAATGCCACGCCGAAACAAAGATAAACACAACCAGGCTAACGATGATACTAAACGGAGCTGCGCAACAGGAAAATGCAACTGCATTTGGAATACATCAATGGGCCTTGCAGGCGTTTAACTATCGTCGGAAGACCAAGAATTAGCCGTTCGCAGGTAACCACACCCAGATAGGACCGTTGAACCCCCCTCCCTCCTTCAGCACCTCACGCGATTCAGAACTTGCTCTTAAAACTGCTGCTACAATTGCTGGATGAAAAAAATCAGCATAAAAGTGCATAAATTGTTCGCAAGAGACTGAGGAGCTGGTATTCATGCACGACATCCGTATATTGGAAATCCACCAGCGCTTAGACGTAACAAAGGACATATGAATTAGTTTAGACGGTATGCCCCAAGAATTTGGAGGGGTCGACCATGACATAAACTTCACTTTTCTACTCGCAATACATGATATGTTTAATTTTTATCAAAACCCTCTAAAATCACTTTTGAAAAAAATAAGGATTAAACTGAAAACTTAGGTTATCATGTTCAATCTGAATATGCGTTTCTTTTTTTGTTGAGTATAATAAATTTATGTGAAAAAATTCTAATAGGCCATTGTTTTAAAAACCAGTAAATCATACAGTGTATGAGTTGCTGGACTAGATTACATGTTACAACATTAGTCTGGTTTCAGGATGGTGTATTTTTTAACTGTATTTTGTTTTGTTTTTTAATGCCAAAATAATGTAGATATGTAGTTAAAAAAATCAAAAACATTATGATATAGACTTATTTTTCTATACAGCAATATAATACACTAAAATACACTAAAAAACAATAATTTCTGCCTTTTTTAAAAATAATTATTAAAGTATAAAAACAAACAACAAACTGTCATACACCAACCTGAAACCCAACAGAGCTGAAACACCTATGTAGGTATTAAAAATCAAGTAATTAATACATGCAACTGCAAAATCAACATTGCAAACAAATGAGCTCGTCATAATTGGTCTTATCCTACACTATAAAATGCATTCTATAGTGTATTTTTAGTGTTATGGTTTTTGAAAGACAGACTGAACAAAGGCAACTCAAGAAATGAGTTAGATGGATTTCATCTATTTACTGTATTTAAATTTGTTCTTCATTCTTTGTCGTCATACACATTATACAAACGAAAATATCTAATCCTCCTACAATTAATGCCAAAGGTTAATTTTGCTTACAATTTAAGTTTTAGCGATGTTTTCTACCCATACTTATGATGAAACGCCATACTGTTTATAGTTTCTATGCCTCCCGCAAACTTCCGCCAGAGTTCGTTTGCTCACAAACCAAACTCTTCCAGTTAAGCATTATGGGATAGGGATTTCCCAGGAACTACATCGCGTTCGCCTCGAATTTGAAAGTAGAACTACATTTGTAGACAAATAGAATATTATATAGATGCAGGTTGACTAGGTAATTTTGTTGTTGCTTTTTTATTTCTAAGTGTAAAATATGAGAAGAAAAGAACACTCGAGAGATTTTTTTTTGTTTCTATTTGATTTTTTTAACGACGAGATTGTTCGAATTTCCTCAAATGAGATGTTTTGATAAAACATAGACCCTTTAGGTCTATGGATAAAACAACAAACTAGAGAAAGTTATATTGTTTTTGTCGTGAATTTCTAGCATAATATGATCTGAAGAGTTAACAAACTATTGTAAATCACTTATATAACAAATTATCAATTATTATTTCAGGAAATGTGTCCAATCAAATGTAATGATGAACCAGACCCCTTTAAAGAGAATACTCATAGACACCTTATGTTTTTATGCCAGAAACCGCAAACTGGACAGTTGCGAAATATTATTACTAATGTTGCATTACCAGGAAACAATAAAGTATTGAATGCTCTCAAAGAGTCTTTTGAGGTGGATCTAACAACAGTGGAAAATATATGTATCAGTCAGTGCAAGATATGTTTGACCTGTAAACGAAATTTAGACATATGTGTGCAATTTCGCAACAATTTATTAACAGCTATTTCAAGGAAGCCAAGTCTTTTAAGTGCACAGGCAAGAATTAAAAGAATGGCCCAGAATCAAACACCAAGCTCTTCTACAAAAAATAAGGCTGATCAGGAAAACAAAGAAAATAAACAACCACTGACACCAATCAATCCAAAGAAAAAAAAAAAGACTTCAGTTTTCGGGTATTGATGTCACGCCAGTCAGTTCTACACCCAAGGAACCTTGTAATTTGTCTGACATAGCTGCATCTGATCATAGTTATGGAAGTTATTTGACACCTCTGGAGATGGCCAAATCTAATTCCTTGCAATCTAAGATAGATTTCTTTAGGAAAGAAGATGAACATAACAAGGAAAGTGAATGCTGTACAGCTGAAGAAATCTTCAAGAATAAAAACAAGTTGGCTGAAATCCAGCGCCTGATATTACTTGAGACTGAATTAATAGCAGACAAACTTTGTTCACAGACAGTACCACCAGGTCCCTCTGTTCTAAGAGCATTTCAGCAACCATCACTTTTGAAGTCGGAAGACATTTTAAGCAAATGTCTCATTGAATTTCAAAATTGCCTACCATTTGTATTTAAAATATTTCAGACTATGTCATCTTCAATTTTCACAGATCCTGAAAAAGTATCTGCAGCTAATTCCACAATAGCTACAATGTATGGTATGGCAATGAACAGAAGGAACAAGGATTTGTGCGCAGTACAAAAAATAAGCACTTGTGTTGCTCTACGGTTTCACGCTGGAAATGATCTGCTTGATATTTTCAACAAAGCAAATATAACACTGGCATCTGGCAGTTAATATGGATTTTTAGAGGACATGGGCCGTTTCAACACTGAAGGTATAATAAGAAGCATAAGGGAAGGAAAACCTGGAAAAATTACAGCAGATAACATTGATGGTATGACAATTGCAAGAGATGTGAGACTTACAGGTGGGAATAAGCACTACCATTATACAGCATCAACGTATTATCCAGACAGAGTAGATGTGTCAGATTTGGAACACAATAGAGTTGTGCCTGAGGAAATTCCTTCCAGTACTTTTTTTCTAAATGGAAATGAAGAAATGAAACTTAAGGAAATGTATGGATATATGGTGGGTGTATATTTTTTTCTTTTTTAAAAATAACCTTTTAAAATCTTTTTAAAATAAATTTGTATTGTCAGCATATAGCAAACATTTTTAATTGTTCTGTAAAACTTCAGGTTGGGAGGATTATGGTGGCTTATTTTCCAGAGGTAAAGTGGATGGAGTCTTGTATCCCAAAGCATATTCCTCACCCCTACAGTCAGGAAATGTCAACCAAGTCCCAAATATTTCCTCTTAAGGTAAGACATTCAATTAAATATATGCTTTTGAATGCTTTCCATTGCTGTCAAATTATGCATTAAGATAACTAACCACTTGCATTCCCAATACTTAACAGATAGCCTTGTGTGCCTTGTGTTCATTCAGTATAATTCTTCTATATGAATATTAATCACTGATTTGCCTTTGAGTTCTATGAGAATTCTACTGAAATAATTAGCAAGATTATTGTGGTGAAAAATCATATATCAACTGAGACTTCACTTGAACCCAGGGCCTTTGATGTATTGTGCCAGCACTCTAACCACAAAGCCACTGAGACATATTGACAGACTTTTATGAACACCTGTAAACCCTGCATCATTATATTAATTGTTTTCAATAAAAGATCCTAAGAATTACAAAATTTGTATAGAAAAAATATGATGAAATGTGACACATTACATGTTTGATATATAGTATATTACCCGCAAGAATTCAATATTTCAGATCATACTTCAAGACCCAAAGTTTTATGCAGGCTGTATTCAGGTCTTAAATGACCTCACAAAAGATTTGCAAAATTGTTATGTAAAAGCAGGGAGAAGTAAATATAAACAAAAAAGTGTTCTATTAATTATCTTCATTATTTGCAGTTACTAGTACCTTTTATTGGTTTTGTTTTTGTTTGTTTTTTTTTTAAATTTCATTTTTATTGACTTTGACTGTTATTTTTCTTTTTTATCAAGGTTTTACTGTTTTGATAACTTTTTTTTATAATATTTCAAGAATTTTGCTTTCATTATCAATTTTCTTCATGCATATCATGCATATATTTATGTATCCTTTAAGAAGCATACTTCAC